AGACCTTCCAACTTGTGTATATCGCCACGTTTCCTTCTTAGATCCCCGAGTTTCCCATTGTCCTCAGCACTGGTCAATCCAATTGAAGGTTTTACCAAGATTAAAGACATTGTTAAACCTTCAGTACCACTTATTAAAAGATTCAAGTGGGTCTATGTACATACTTGATCCTGAACGTATACTTTTTAATCTGTGTGGATTCGAGAAAATCAAAAATAAATGAAAACTGGTGTATCCGATTCATGTCTTTTAAAAGTGATTAAAGATTTATGTTGTACGATGATTACACCCTGAAAAAGAACAATTCAAAGAAATCATTAAAAGCCCAAAATGACAACATTCATGCCCACGATGAGTGTATGTAAACTTCTAACCACAACTGTTGATATGTACATAGAGAGAGTATTTGTGCTATACTGTGATCAGCATCAGAATTAATCTACAATAATCTATCGGCAGCTCTCACGCGTCAGGGACCAAGAGGTCACTGCTGACACACATAACAGCTGATTATAATCCTGTTTCATCCTGTGCAAGGTGTACCAGCTTTGGTGAATGAAGTGAAAGCCGGTGCACATTTATTTGGATTTTTCTGTATTTTAAATGAAGTTAAAGTTGGACAAAGCAATCCTAAATTTTCCTTTATGCATAAACATAATCCGGGAGAGTCTCTGTGTAAATCTGCATCTACCTTTGCAAAATCAGATTAGGTAAAGTCCAGGTCATTCATTTCACATTTAAAATACCATCACATACTTTTACATAATCGTTTAGGTTTAGTTCACAATTGCACAAAATGTTGAGCATCTGTACGTCAGGGGAAAAGGCATTCGCTCAAACCTCACATCTGTCATTCGTAAACTGGCAGGTATTATGATGTAAAAAGCAATGAGCCTGGGAACTGTTCATTGTACCGACCGGCTTACCACTTCATCAAGTGTAACGCTGGACTTAAGTATCCTGTGGTTGTAATTTATTACATGGAAGCTAATATTCAGTATAATCTATGTGCATTCAGAGGAATCACTAAAAGTCTATGCCTACTTACCATATAAATGCCAGCAATGAGGCAAACATACAGACAGTCAAAAATCCCCCTTATATTATTTGCTATTGTTTACTCCAGATGAAACCCATTTTAATATGGCCTTGTCTTTTAAATCTTATGACTGTAGTGGACATTGTGTAACACGGTTAAGTCAAATTGTCCCTACATGAGTTTATCGTGGTCATTACTGTGGATTTTCATCACACTAATCCCGGAGTACAGTTTCTTTTTAAGCTTTTGTGTTTTAGTTTATATGAATCGTTTGAGTGCGTTCTGGATTTGACTCGATTTGACTCCAAAAACATGATGAGGATGATGAGAGGGAAAATTCGACATCTCGGATACTTTAAAGGAGTTTACAAATCCAGGGCAGTTAAATGATCTGCACAGCTGCCACTGCTCACACTACTGTACACAGTGCAGTGTAAACAAAAACTGAGAGACCAGTGCATATACTGTATACCTGAGTTTCAGTACTTATAACGACTTGGGCAAAATGTCAAATACATGCTGCATAGTTAGGTTACAGCTAACTGGCTAACTGCCCCATGCTGTTAGTTATATATGTCAGGGACCCTGGGTCGGAGCGACAGCCGAGTATATATGGCTTTATCCCCAATTCAGGGTCTGCAGCCTTAAAGGCCGCATTTTAAGACCGATTACGTCACAGCGACGCGACGAAGGCTGTCCCAATTCGAAGGCTGCTCGAAATGTGGCCCTCAAATGCGTCCTTCATTTCCCTGAATTTCAAGGACGTGGCGGTGTAGACCCAACATATCCCAGAATGCATAGCGCGGCGGTGGGTGTGGATAATTTTGCCGGAAAAAAACAGCGGATGAGGGGCGCCCGAAGAGTAAACTTTAAGTACTGAATATTATGTCACTTATTTATGTGCAAATGTTTAATAAGGAAGAACATTAAAACATTACTGTTGGCCACATGTCTGCAAAGTTATGTGACATTAGTGACGTTTGTACTAACTTGGTTTTAAAGCCTTTACTTTAAAATATACGCCGTTCAATAGCTGAGCTTAATCAGAGAATGATCAAAGCTCATGTAGAAACAAACAAACAAATGAACAAAAGATTTTCTCCTTCATTTCTGTCAAACAAAGCTGTATGACACGTTTCTAGCTCTTAGTATCATGGTTGCTAGGCAACCTGGGCAGCGCAACGGAGGCTAGACCGTCCCATTTCACAAGCCTCGCACTTCCGGCCTTAGCGGTCTTTAAGTACGCGGCCCTTGAGGATCGTTGAGACTGCGTACTTTAAGGCTGCAGACCCTGAATTAGGATACAGCCGTTAACGTGTTTGCTGTAGGATGGATGTCAAGCACCTGCAGGCCTGGTGGGTGTGGCCCTGCTAGGGGACTGGCCACACCCGAAGCTCCTGCCACACACCTGCTGCTGATCAGGGCTCGTCGGGGAAGTTTTGAAAACCAAAACAATAAAGTTGAGTGCTCTTTTGGCAGCTTTCCACTTTTGCCCAGATGGGCATCATTACATAAAACTAGCTTTCTTCTAATGTTAGCTAATAATAGTTTTCCTATACATACATAACTGAAGTTATCGGCTAAGCTAGCAAGCTTGGTTAACAATTTAACTGTGCTAACTCTGCAAACACACCCATGAGGGCTCAGAGTGGGTAAGTGTAGGTGAACTGTGGGCTGCCTTTTTGGACCTCTATGTGGGGATACTGGGGGCTGCCCCATTGAGCTAGCCGCTACATTAGTTTTGCCTCTTGTGGGCACCAAGAGATGATTTTCTATGGACAACCCATAGTGGGCTTGCCCATGGAGAACCCTCTCTGGTCCACTTGTGATTTGTCCTAATGCAGGGACCACCAAGGTTATTACAGTTAATTTCATCGAGGCTAACAGCTAAAGCTACCAAAACAATAAAGAAACAGGTCTTCTAAAATGGCATCTTTTTGTTGTTGTTGTTGTTGTTGTTGTT